CATTGTCCCTATACACTAAATTAGTTTTATAAAGGTCTTTATTAAGAAAATAATAAATATCAAATAAATTATTTGATGTTAAAGTACGATTACGAAGATGATTAAAAAAAGTAAATGAGGTAGATTTAACAAATATATCATATTCAATTAATAATTTTAATGGTTAATGTTTTTGATGTAATTTATCTAACTCGCTTAAGTTAAAAATATATGATATGCCGTTTTTGATAATATTTTTCATAATGATATTATCAATTTCAAAATACTGTGAATTCTTTAATTTGTAAGACTTATACACTGGTTTAAATTTACTAATATAATTTTTAATAATATTATTATTTTTTATTTTTAATAATCTAACATCACCTAAATTATAAGATAATACAAGGTTTTTAATGTATAATGGTAAATCATAAAATATCATAATATATTTCAATCTTTATTTTATTTTAAATGCTTTTTCAAATCTAACATAAAACATATTATTAACATCTTTGGAATTCATATTAACATAAAAGAAGGAGTATGGTTTATCATCTACCGCTTTATGATACATATTTAACAGTTGCTCTTTATCAACACTGGCGGAGTTTTCCTCAATGAATGACATTAACTCTGATACATTCTTTAACTTAAAGATATACAACGAACTAGAATTCAACCTAATGATTGGAGCAAGGACACGATATATTTGAACACTTAAGCAAAAACTAATGGCGTCGTGTCTGCCTCTCGTTGCCAGTCCATGTAATAACTTGCTGTATCTAACAAATTTAGGGTCGTCTGCAAAATCATCAACAATGATTAAAATTGAATGTAGTTTCTTCATCTTCTGTTCTTTCATATAATGAATTATCTTTCTTTGTGTGTTAATTATTTCTTCCAGTTCTTCAGGTTGGTAGGTGTCATAATATAACTTTTCTTTTTCGTCATCAACCTTCATATTATCTGTTTGATATTTCTTGACTTCAACGAAGGTAGGGTCATTATGAACCGACGGGCTAAAAATGAATATACGGGCGAAGCAGTCCCTATAAACATTTAGGATAAGGTTTTGAAATAAAACTGTTTTGCCACCCGTTGATGAAGCAACAACAATTGAGCGAAAAGGTAGTTTTGGTACATGTTCATATTTAGATTGTTTGAAATCGTAATCAGTTATATTGATTGGTTTTATTATTGGAACATCAGACATAATAAAATAATATTAAAGTTATTTAGAAAATATTTTATATTTATTATTTTATATGAATAGAAGTTATTCAGATTATATTGATATAATAGATAAAGTAGAAAATATAGAACAAGTAATAATAACTGATAATAGATTTAAAAAAGTATGCTATTTTGTTTTAGAATTAATTAAGTTTGTGATACAATATATTAAAAATATAAATATTAATATAGATGGGAAGAAAGAAAAAGAATAAGACAGAATCAGTTGTTTCTTCAACTGATGAAGAAAAAGAAGAAATTGTTAAAGAAACATCAGTTATTGAGTTTGCTTGTCCAATGTGTAAAAAGATGTTAGAAATGAAAAATGAATTAGAAATACAAAAGAAAGGAAACTGTAAATGTTCGTGTATTCCGACAAGTTTCAAAATAAGTAAGAATGATAAGAAAATGAATATTGATAAAACTAAAGACAGTATAAACTTAGAAACAGATGTTCATAATATAACTTTTAAATGGGGTCGGCAAGCATCACCATCCGATAGTGGCGATAAGGAAACTCAGGAAACTGTTAAACAAATGATGAAAAATAGTATTTAAAGAGTAGATTTAACATAATTGCAACATTTAGTTTTAAAAGTTTAGTTTTATAATTTAGTATATATGGAGGAACATTTAGCGAACATTGACAGTAGTTTAGAGTTGTTGTTTCCAAGATTAGAAAAAGTGTTGGAGCAAAATGAAAACATACTGAAAATCTTAAAGAGCTTGAATATTAAACCTACATATGATAACAATAACAATTATCAAGCAAAAGAAGTAGATAGAGACAGTAGCGAATACAAAAATAAACGAAACATTTATGTTAAAAAACTGAATGAAAAAATCATAAAAGAACCTAAACAATCAAGTCTGGATTACTATCAAGTCAAGTATAAAGAAGACACCAAGAAATACGTTTAATCATTAACTAACAAAATTTCGTGTCTCAAAAGCGGTTTGTTTATTTCTGCTACTTTGTAAGTTTTATTACCCATAATATCATATTCAATTTTATCGATATTGAATATTTTATTAGACCATTTAGAGTTATACTCCTTTCTGTCGGTGTAATTACCCCTTTTCTTTTGAAACACTTTTACCTTGTCGTTCTCCACTATTCTGGGATACTTTCTTTTGTTTTTTTCTCGTAGTTTAAGATTGACCTTTACATTTATTTCATTCTCGTCCTTGTGTGCTTCAGACGGTGTCATCCTTGTTGATGAGTGAGATGTGCTGTTATACTGTTTCAATGCCGGCGTTAGGGCGTCGGTCCATTTCATGTTGTTAAACCTAACTCTATCGTGAATTTTGTTTTTCATCGTTCTAATAAAACGCTCGGCCACATTTGCGTGGGTCTTCGTAACGATGTGGTTTATTCCTTCACTGTTGAAGAAATCCTGAACGTGATTTTTAGTTGCAAACGCTCCGTCGTCATCAGAATACACGGACATCGGATAACCCATCTTTTTAAAGCTTGCTCTCAACGCCTTCAAAACGTGCTCTCCGTCTCTTTCCTCCATCGGTATTACATCTGCTAATTTACTGAAGATGTCAATCACGACTAAAGCATACTGTGGAACGTTCTTGTCTTTTGCTAAAGGAGACATATGCATTATGTCTATTTGATATTCATATCGTGCGAATGGAGCGGTATAGGAATTAGTTCCTCTATAATTTTTGATTTGTTTATTTGGCTGTTTCTTTAAGAAAGACTTTACATCGTCTAATGTTATTGTTGGGTCTTCTTCCTTTGCCTTCTTGTGTGTCGCTTGTGTGCTTCCGAAACCCTCGTCTAAGTCGTAATAGATGTTGCTGATTATTTGGTCTTTTGTTAATCTCGCCATTATATTAAATTGTTAGAAAATATTTTTTCAATAAAAACCCCGCCCCTTAACATAAAATAAAAAACTACTTAAAGAAATATTAACTTATTATATTAAGTGAAAATATGACTGAAAATGTCGGAGTGATTGCTGACTTATCAAACTGGGTGCTATCAGACGAAGAAGATGATGATAATGACAGTTATAAAAAGGAATTAGATGACGAGTTAAACAAAATAAAGGATTTCGTCAAAAGACACCCTTTGCCATCAGTTGATGAAAACGAAGAATTCTGGAAAGATGTTATTAACAGGTTTAGGGATAATAGCGGATTAAACTTGATGACAATATACTCATTTGTTAGGTTTGACATCATGAAAGAAATGTATGAAAACCTAACAGATGAAAACATCATAAAAGACTGTGGTAAAAAGTTAAACCGAGATGGGCAGTTTAATGCTATGATTATTAACCACTATATCTTATCGGGAGCGATACGGAAACTAAACACAGAAGACAGTCTAGTAGATGGACAGATGCGAATTATTGAATTCTGGTGGGATGGAATAGGTGGATGGAAAGCGTGAGTGATTTAGTTTAATGATATTATTCAATTATAATATGATTAAACCTAGTTTTTATAATCTAACAATGAGGTTAAGACATTTAAATTAAACCTGAAACCCAGACCAGCCGACCAGCAACCCCTAGCCAAAACTACTTAAAGAGAAAAAGCCTTATATATTAAGAGAAAAATGAGTAAGGGTAAAATGTCAGAGAATAATTTTATGGATGAGAATTGCGCTAGCTTACCTGAAGGCTTAGTTTCAATCATCACTACTTACATTAATGGTAGTGAAGGGTGGCGAAGACTGAAACAATGTGATGCTTTAAGAGAATTACAAAGGAAATGGAAACCGTCTATTTACACTGAACGAGTAGGAGAAAGTAGATATTATGTTGAGATTCGCAATAAATGCTTAAAAGGTGATAAAGCGCTTTCATATGCGTTGAAACCACCAAAAGAATTATTAAGAATGATGAAGTATGATGAAGAAATACAGGTTGGAATAGTAGTTAGTTCAAAAATTATGTATAATAATAATATTTGCAACAGTCGTTCTTATTCATCATCTAAACAGAAAAAGATTTCAAGTAGAGCGTCATTACAATACCATATTGAACAAGCAGTTGAAGAAACCAAACAGACTATGAAACGACACGAAATCATTACTATCGAACATGTTGCAATTGAAATTTATAGAAAACAGAAACAATGATTTCATGGCTTAATCATAATATTTAATTATAATATGATTAAACAGTGTAAACTTTTATAACCTTTCATTATACTGTAATTTCAACCTATAAAACATAACTAGACAATCACATAAAAATCACATAAAAAGAAGTTGTTAAGATATATTAAGAAATGGTTGTGAAGCAAACTATAATGAATAATTATGGAATGACAGAAGAAAAAGCAACAGAAGACTATGGTGAATTCTTCAAATGCAACAGATGTCTTTATGATAAAACAATTGATGAATTTGGAAATGTAAAAAGTGGAAGAAGATATAAATATTGTCAAGAGTGTAGAACAAAAATAAATAATTGTAGAGATAAACGTCAAAGAAACAAACGACCCACCAACACCCCAGAACTTGATAACTACTAAAAGGGCTACCTCTTTCAAATGAAAAAAATGTTTGCCCCTAGCCCAACAATGAACAAGGCGACAATTTACCCAAATGATTACCTTAACGAAAACGATAAATAAGCTCCCTAAAAACCCTCTTTTCAAAACGAATAAGGGGGAACATAGATTTGAGATGAACATAAAAACCAGAACAGGCAACCCTCAACAGACTTCCCCCCAGGCCCCCTACTTCTTCTATTTTTTCCCCCCCCCCCGCCCGCCCTCCCGGCATCCCCCCCACCCCCAGGCAATTGATCCAAGGCGCGTCCAGGTCCCGGCGCAACAGCGCCAGCTGGGCCAGCAGCACGTCCAGGTCCTCAAAGGATTTTTCGCCCTCCATGTGGCTGTGGGCTCAAAAATAGGCAGCAGGGGCAAACCGCAGATTCTGGTCCATGTGTCCACTTACCAGGGTTCCATGTTGGTACCGGTTTTTTGAGCCACAGCCATTTGGCTGTGGGTCAAAGATGCGAACCCAACATAAAGCCCTGGAAAATAAAACCAAAGACTAACATGCGGTTCTCTGCCAGTTTTCTGTTGACCCATGCCCATTTCATTCCTGCGGGTGGGTAAAGAACTGGGGGGAGAAGGAGAAAGTGGTTTGGTTGGATCTGTTTCACTTTTCTCTTGGGGGGGGGGTTTCAGAACTGCGCCCTCCCGCGCGTTTCCATGGAAGCTTCCGAGCGGACCTGTGTGGAAGACTTGGTCCCATTTACACCTAGAGGAACATGGTCGCTCAGGGCTTTCCGGTGGGGGCGAGGGGTGATGCCATCGTTTACTGGGTTGTTGGCGGCAAAATTGACCCCGTGGTAGATTCTCTTTGGCGCTACTCCGCACGAACTCAAGCTGGGAGTCAAGTACTCAGGAAATCGAGGTGGGGTAACCTCCCGAAAATCCGACTGTCCTGTTGAGGGCGGAGGCCGACCCCTCGATTCCATCTACCATCCCAACAGAACAAAGGCAGTCTGTACCCCTCACACCATATTATTGGTGCGAGTATTGCACACCATGCAAGCAGTGTTCCCAACCACAGACGGCCGCTTCTAGGCATTTCTGCCCTTTCTTGGGGTAAGGTTGGGCTGAAAAAACCTGAGGGTTTGCCAATCCCAATCCAGAATCCGCCGTTTGTACGGTGGATCCGGCAAAATCGAATAATCCGCCAACTTTCCTCTGCTGGGTTGTGTAGAAGGGGGAGCCCCTTTCTGGAGTCGATTCTATGTTCAGTCGGAGGCCCAGCAAACAAGAATGATTTGGGGGCCAATAAGCAACTGGGTTTTACTGGGGCAAGGCGTAAGCTCGCCAAAATCTGATGGTTGCTATTTGGGCTTGTCTCAAAATAGGATATCTCCTAAATCATAGGTTTCTTATCAACAACCCCCCCCCAGACCCCCCCATTTAGTAAATGGTCGGTTTCCTTTTGGCTCCCCTTTTCAGCCAACCCCCCCCCCCCCCCCCCCAAAAAAAAAAAAAAATGTCCAAAAACCCACCCAGCCGTATCCACCTCCCCCCCCCCGCCCCGACCCGACCCGACGTCCTCGTAGCACTCCGCGCTTTGCTTCCCCAAGTCCTGCTCGGAGTCCGCCTGAAAGGCGCGGGCTGACTCCCAATTTGTCTGCTGAAAGTGACGCACGCTTACTTCCATTTGGTTAAGACCCCCAGGAAAAAAATAAAATAAAAAATTTAGAGTAGTGACAAATTCCTTTTAGCACCAACACGGGAAAATAAAAATACAAATGGTCTTAAGCAAATGGAAGCTTGGTGGGTGAAATGCGTGGCTGCTGTAACGACCCATCTGCAAAAGGTGACTAACTGTGCGGGTTGCATGGAAAACCCCTTGATTTCCCCAAAAAGTCAAAGTCTAAAGATCCAACCCAACAGCAATCAAAACTGAAAACCTCCACTAAACCCAAAGAAGCCAAAAGGCTAAGGAACCGGATGGCTGGGAGCCAGCCACTGGCAGCAAAAATCTTCGGAGTTCTTGTCCGAGCCTTCAAGAGAGATCCTAGGAAACGGATGCGATCCAGAAGCAAAGGGCCGCCAGCAGCGCCCGTCAGAGCACAGATACCACAACCATCCATTTGGGGGGCCCAAATCAAGACATGAACCAGCAGCTTGCAATCCAAAGGGCCGGATCGATGGAGAATGGAGAATGCTCATGGGCTTTTTGAGACCCGGCCAAAAACAGATTATGGGTGTGGTGTGCCCTTTTGGTTTCTCTTTGCCGTCCAAAAACGGCATCCTCAGAGAAAAAGCAACGCACCCACAAATCCAACTCTGGGCGACGGCCCCATGGACGGAAACGGCGAGGACTAGACCCCCGGTCGATTTCTCTTCCAACGCTGACGTGCACAGGTCCCCTTGGGAAGCCGATGTTCAACCGATGTTCGGCCGATATTCCAAGGAGGTGATCTTAAAGCATCCCCCAAAAGACAAAAAAACAAAAAAAGGGAGCCCGCCGCGGTCCTCACAGAACTCCTGGTAGCACCGAAAGGCCCCATTGTTCAAAAGAAACTTGGGCAGGCCCCAGCTCCTTGGCTCCCTTCCAACGGTAAGACAAGGAACAGGAAAGAAAAAGGATAGCCACTCACCCATTTCCCCGCTGCCTTTGCTCGCGGTAACTTGTCAATGGGTGAGCACACATGATGAAGAGCGAGGCCATGTCTTTCCCTGGTCTCCGTCTCTCTCCTCTGTCGTTTGCCGTCTCTCGGTCAATCCATGTAATTAAAAGGAAACAGGATGGCGGCAGTTCAGGGATTCATAAGCCGCTCTTTCTCCTCGCCTTTCCATTGCTAATATCTGGCGAGATAAGAAAGGAAGCACAAACCCATTTAGTTCCTACCCCATTACCCCATATCCTATCTTAACAGGAATTACAAGGATTATAAATGGGTTTGTGGGCATCTTTTCCTCAAGATAAGGACACCGCAAACCCCTGGTTTGCTAATAAGGGGCCGCCAACCCTTAAAGAGGAGCCGGATCAGAATCACATCCACACACTCGGCCCCTGCTCGCTTGCCTCTGCCAGCTTCGCGTCGGCCTTGGCACGCATCAAAAGAGGACCAACGATCTGCTTTTGGAACCCAAAACCAAAGAGGTGGGTGGAGACTCAAAAAACAGGCTGCGGGGTTGGAGAAGCAGGGTCCCCACATTGAAATCTGCAGTGACCTACATGGGTTCTGACAAATGGGTTCCTCCCAGGATGGTACACATATGATCATCCTTTGGAGCAAGCTGGAACCTCAATTCGGCATAGGGACCCCAAACTGGTGGTGGTTCCCTTTGCTTTCCGATAGAAGCCGGAAAAACAGACTGTGTGCCCTCAAAACCGACACCTCCCAGCTCGAGTTCCTTGGGCTCCGGACGTCGCTTTGGGGGCCTGGCGTTTTTCACCCGAGAGGTGGAAACCACAGGATTCGTGAGTTCCAGGGTTGGCTTTTCCTTGTTTACCCTCAGGTCCCCCGCCAAAAGTGATTAACTTTAGGTGGGTTAAATGGAAACTACCACTAATCACTAAAAGACCAAAAAGCTAAGGGGATGGCGGGGAGCTACCAAGAATCAAGGTGGGGTGTCTCCAACGTAAAGCAAGTCCTCACTGGGCGGGAAGCACTCCTTCATCTGGGAATCCACCAGCTTGACCGATCCGAACTTGACACTGGCACCAGGACAACAGGACGTTTGACAAAAAGGCACCCCCCAATAGCACGCTTCCAGATGGCAAGATCTGACAAAAAAAGTTCGAAGGACCAAACCCGCAACCAGAAGGATATTTACACGATCATGGCTTGAATCGGCCTTTCAGCTGTTTGAGCAGCAATGTCTTTGACTTCACCGATTCCAAAAAAAAAGGCGTGCCATTTCTCTTGTAGAGGCATACCGTTGTACACATGGGTTTTGGGCAAGTGCGGCTTGCAAAGACATGGCTGCGGGTCGAAACCCATGGTACCATTTCTTGCGCCCATTTTAGTCCATTTTAGTGGGGACTTGGGATGTCCGGGCGGAACGATTCGGATTTTGACCCGCCACATGTTGAAACCAGGGGCCTCCCGTGGCCCCTCGAGATACCCAAACCTCAAACCCGCGCCTCGCTGGCCCTCTACCCGCCGCACCTGAGGCCGGGAAACCGGCAGACAGGCGACCTTGGCCGCTAGGTCCTGGAAGACTATGTTCCATGACTTTGATACAACATATAAAACCAAAAACTCCCACCAATTCCACAAATTACATCTCTTCACTCAACAACATCAATTAAAAGCTAATAGAGTGGCACAACATCGTTGAAAAGGGGACTCTCTGGTGGGATCCATGAAGCACCCGTTGCTGGCGAATGTTGACCCCAGATGAATCAACTCCAGTTTACGAAAGGGGGGGGGAAGGGTGAACAGCCCCCTATGGATTCATCCGGGGTCAACATTCGTGGGGAAACTGGCAAAAGATTCAAGTGTTGAGGGTCGTGCCAAAGAGAAACCCACACCACCGGCGCCTTCACAGAACCTGGTTTTTTAGGGACTCTGACCGTGGGTCGAGGGGGTCCAGAACCGGCCAGGAAAAATGAGGCGACCAAGTGGACGCTCAGCCCGGAGTTCTGGAAACAAGTCAACCTACGGCTAGAAGAAACAGGCAGCACTAAAATATTGAAATGAAAGTTCAAACTCGGAGTCCGACCGAGGCAAGATGGTTGCAGCTTCGATGGATTACACCTCCGGGTTTGGGAAGTCGATTTTTGAGGGTACCCCAAGAAGATGGTCCTTCCTTGGGAGGCATGCCAGTGGTTCAGTTTTCATGCAACTTGCACGTGGGGCGAGGGAGAGGGGGGTGGAAATGAGGGACCCCGCTTGAAATGGACACCTCAAGGGCAAGGACATAGCAAGGACACCTGCAGAAAATTGTGGGTGGACAACATTCATTTCGCACCAGGTTGTTTGCGGTTCATTGCACTACTTTGTGGGGGGGGGGGTTATCCAGTATGTTTGCTGTTGTTATTTGGATTGGAAATTCCAGGCCTCTTCCAGTCAGTTCTGGCAAGGGCATGGTTGCCTCAAAGTAGGGAAGCCGCTAAAATGGTTGGTTTCCCTTTGATTGCCCTTTGCAAGTTGGTTCAAAGATAGCCAAAAGGGAAGACCCGGAAACGCTTCAGGGGTCCAAACTCCGATGAGAGACAAGCCATGGCCAACTCCACTCCGGGCTGCCGCGCGGCAGCCAAGGCGCCTTGCGGAGTTCGGCAAGAAGGATGGGGCGAGCAGACAAAAGCAGAACGCGGATAGGCATAGGCCGTTTGGAGCAGCGTTTAGGGTAGGGAAAATTCGCCAAGCAGGGTTCAAACCACGGGGCGAAGTACAACTCGCTTAAGATGAGCTGGACATGGGGGGCTCGACACTGGAAGCTGCGAGGGCTCACCAAATTGTGGGAGCTCAAGCAAGCTGGCGCCAGGGGGGAAATCTCCTCTGGCTCGCTGAGCATGAGCTCGATTCGCCTAGGAGTTTGCCTCAAAAAGACCGCCAAACGGAGACTGCCAGGGGTTTTGGTTTTGCCGCTGACAAGCAACAAGGTCTGGGGTTGGGGAAACTTTGGTCCCAGCATTTGGATTGAACAAGGGGGCCCTTCTATCCTTAAAATGGCCGTGACAAGTAGTTGAACCCAGCTTGGAGTGGGGAAAGCAGTGGCAACCGGCCAATGATCGATGGTGCATCGGGCATCTGCGGGGAAGAAGTGCTGGCTTGTGTTCTGATCGTATCCCTCCCACCTTAGAGAGAAAGGGCTTAGTCTTTCACAAAGAAAAGGGGCTTTAGAATTTACGCCCTCCCAATGTTCTGAGGCGGCAGGGAAGTCATCTTGACATCGTCTTGCAAGGCCAACAGGAGGGAGGAACATAGGGGGGGTCAAGGAAGGGTGGATCCTGCGATGCAAAAGCTTCTGGGATGGTCATATCCCACCGCCCCTCCCCTCGGCCCTGCTAGCCTTCCGTATTGCCGGCCTGGCAGAAATCAACACTCGAAAGCTGGACGCAGCCAAGAGTCAGCATAAACGTCACATCAACACAACTTGTGTGCGATCCCTGCTTACCTACAAGGGAGGTATCTCCCAGTGTCATGATCGATCCGAACACGGAACTATCATTTTCAGCAGCCCAACTCACTCCGCCGATCCACATGTTGCAAGCTGTCCCGAAAACTGGAGCACTGTTGGCCCCGGAGAGGGAAAAAAAGAGATGGACGCCTCGCCCACGAAGTCCGCTCGACAAACATCCAAATTCCCACCCCCGTTCCCGGCCCCCCCGATTCCTTCCCCCCCGCCTCGCGCTGCAAAGCGCCCAGCCCCCGGTGCAACAGACCTGGCAGAAAATCCCGGGACGAAGCGTCCCGAAGCTTTCCGAGCTTCGACTTCGCAAGAGGCGAAGCGTTGGAGAGAAGACCCCCACGCACAGGCTTGGCCAACCTGATAGCTTCAAGGACCCCCCCCCCCCCCGCACCAAAAAAAACGTCTCACACCTCCGTCCTTTTGGACAAAGAAATGGGGATTCCGCCGGGAAATGACAAGAACACAACGGCCAGTGGAACAAACTCACCGAAACAGGAGGCCGGTGGTCGAAGACTGAGTTGGAGCCGACTCGCCGTCATTGAAATGGGGAGGTGGGCATCCGGGGATGTCACAGCAAGGCCCAACTCTCGGCCAGAGTTGGCCAAGAGCAGAAAGTTCGAGCTTTGTTGCAGATGGGAAAAACCGGAAGCCCAAAAAGGGAAGGGGCCCTGTTAGGTGAGCCGAGTCGAATGCCACGGTCCAGGCCTTCCTCATCGCCTTCGGGCATGGTCAGCCAGGCCATCTCATCACCACCTGAGACGCTGCTGCATCTGACCGAGCCCTCCATGGCTAGCTGACACCGGCTGAAGCCCAACAAAAAAAAAAGCAGGCTTGATTGTGGCCCATGAACCTCAAAAACTGAAAGTGCCGTTTTTCCTCAACAAAGGAAGAACAAGTGCTCCCATGAACCTTAACCTTCAGCTCGTCTTCTTCAGGAAACAACACAGTGCTTCGCCAAAAAACGCGCGTTGAAACTTCATCCTTGAACCCCACAACCCCCCCCCCCCCAAAAAAAAAAAAAAAAAGACAAACAGGGGCCCCTTGTGGTGTCCAGCTGGCGCCAAGAAATCCCATGACCAGACTCGCCCGCCGAGGTCGAGCCACGCACGGCGCTGCTGCTCCACGCGCCCTCGCCCTGCCCCAGCCGCGCCGGGCGCAGCGGCACTGCGGCCGCGCCCCGCCGCGCCAGGCGCGGCGCCTGGAGGTGGGAGCTTCGGGAACCCAGTGCACCCGGCGGGGGTTGGGGGCCAGGGGGGGGGTAGTGGGGGGGGTGGTGGGGAGGTGGGGGGAGGTGGGGGGGGGGGGGGTGGGGGGTGGGGTGTGGGGGTGGTGGGGGGGTGGGGGGTCGGTGGGGGAAGGTAGGTGGTGCCATCCCTTGCTTCGGGCAGAAAAGGGACGTGGATCCAGGAGCAAAGCCCATACGGGTGGGGCCGTTGAGGTTCTGCGAATCCCCGAAGTGCGACTTCTCTCAGGGATCCCTTGTCGTGAATCTGCTCATTCGTGAGCGGCTCGTGGCATCGCACTGCCGTGGATCGGCAATTGTCAAGCTCAGCGGTGGGCAGCCGGCCAATTGGAATAAGCGACAAGTAAAAACTCAGCCCAGGTATTTCCCCAACAGCCCGGGAACCCTCCTGGAAACCACCCCAGAGATTCTTTGGGCAGAGACCCGAAACCTTTCAGCTGTTGGGGAAAAGCAAGTCTTTCCTGCACTGAGATGTCAGCACCTCTTGATCAAAGTCGATTGCAGCTGAGCCTAAGCTGGAACAACCAGAAAGTACTTGGGGAAACGAGCCTGAAGCAAGCAGCAATGATGCCCGTTTCATCCGACGGCCCGCCCGCCCGCCCTAAGTGACCCAACCGCCCGATATCGCACCTGCGCAGAAACGCCAGGATCCAGGTGGCCATAACACCTGCCAAGCCCGGACTGAAGCAACCAGGGGTGGGGCTTCTTCCACATCTACGATCCAATTTTTAATATTTTTCGGGGGGTGCTTTGACTATTCTGTAGGGTCTTCCAGACATATCGTGAAAATTTCAGGTTAAAAGGGAGGAAACCAAAGGTACTAGGCCCTGACCAAGGGGTGGGAGGGAGACGTTCCAGTAGGCTCGTGCTTGTCTGCTGAGTGTCTGAGTCGCGGGAGTCCGCGCGATCCCCCTTGTCTCACTCAAGGGGTTGCCTCAAAACAGAGCGCGTTATATTTTCAAAGATGCCCCAGCTAGAAGGAAAAACACTCATTGGCCCGGAAGGTGATGCACCCCAAATGGGAGAAGATGGGCAACCCTGCGTCACCCAGCGACTTGCGATCCGAAATCCAAAAACGCCATGGAGGAACTCCTCCCCAGGTTAATGCTCCAACCCAGAAGCCCAGATATTCCCAACAGCCCCGACCCCCCGAAAAAAAGCCTCGGGGCATCCCCTCCCTCAAAGCTGCCCCAAACCACCCCAAGCCTTTCATTCTTGGCCCTCAGACCCGATGCCTCCTTGACCCCCCGAGCTGACCAGGGCCACCTGACCCTGGTGTCAGGGCGTGTTAACCAGGCAGTTGAGGTTGTTCAAATCTTTGTCTCTGACACCCTGAGAAATAAAAGCCGCGCACCTCTCTCGCAAGAAGCCGTCGATAATGACAAGCCCCTGCGTGTTCAGAAGCTCCACCTGCACAAGACGCGCACATAACTAGCATCAGTCCTACTTCTTGGAGTGCACAAGTTGTTGACAACATGGCATTTGATCCTCATGTTCTCGTAGGAGCCCCCCAAGAAGAGCCACCGATGTCGCACCTGTGCATGATGGCCCTAAGTCGAATTACTACTGCAGGGGCTTCTTTGACGTTTTTTGCTGCGCGCGTATCAGACCGCATCAGACCGTCCCCCGCACACGCTCGCCTCCTCCCGCCGCAGCCGCCCTGCCGGAGACGACTCCAAGAGCCGTGGGGGCGAAGGGGGCACCGGCGGCGCCAGCGCCGTGTGGGCGTCCTCGTGGAATTTTTCGGCGGAAACCCGACGCGCTTCCCTCCGGGGTTGGGATGAACCAAAAGTAGTGGCTGAAACAAGGGAACCTGATTCCATATCAGCTTCTCATATTGGTTCGTCCGTTTAGTATTGATTGTTTAGAAAAAGGAGACAAAACAACGAAAAACCGAGCCTAGTGGCCGGTGTCCCCGGAGCATCCTCGAAAAAGGCACCCTCGGAAACATCTGGCCCCGCCTTTTGGGGGAGTTCGGCTGTTCCCAAGAGGAGACCCGCACTGTTCGGGGGCTTTTGCTGATTCAAATGGAGGGCTGGCCCATCCTACTCCTAAACTTCACCCCCCTGTTGGCAAAACACCTTTTGCGTCCTTTTCGGTGGGCTCCATGTTGGGAAGGATACCCCGGGGTGCGCCAATGGCGGGGGCCGCTCTCGCAGTCCTTCCCCAGCATCGCCTGAATAGCCTCCGCGATGTTGTTCGGCACGGCGGGGTATGGGCCTTGCTTGCTGCCTACGAAACCACCGGGAGGTGACTGGGAAAGCCAAAGGGACCCCTGTTAGTGTGTGGGAGGGTATGTAAAAGAGCGAAACAAAACACTTGGCTGATGCCAGGAATCCTCCAACTTGCATCAAATTGATGGTTGGTTTCTGGTAAGGCCATGCGCTGCTTATTGCTACTCTGGCTTTCTTCCAATCTTGAATTCCAAGCGCAATGCGTCTGGACATATCTGCGCCCTATCGCGTCCTTGACTGGGAACACCAAATTGCATGCGAACAAAATCCTAGGTTCCCGCAACAACGATCTCTCAATCGCACTTCTTGTTTCAGTATCTCCGCCAGGAAATGTGGAAAACACCTGACATAGACAACGAAACGCAGGCGAGCCCCACACACCCTCAGACCCTCAGGCCCCCACTCGCCGCCGCTGCCTAGGGCGCGAAAAAGGAAGCGCTGAGCGTGAGGAAGCTTCGGACCCGCCCTGAAAAATGAGCCCTCTCTCTATGCAAAGCTTACGGGTTGCAACTTTGCTAGCGGAAACCAGGCAGTTGTGCTGGAACCCCGTGGTTTGTGCATCAAGTGCTTGACGAATCGGCCGCCCATTTCAGAGAGCACTTTAAGGATCCCAAACCCCGCCCTTGCAAGACTTCAGGTTCGTAAAGCACATCTCATGTTCACATGCGCGCGTTGCGCACTGTTTTGGAGAGGATCGTTCGCACTCCCAACCCCACTCAGGCATCACCAAAAATGTCACTCCTGTATCAGCAGCTTTGGTGCCCACGAAAAAATGCACAAGTGCAGATTGAAGAACAGAAGCGGAAGCACAAAAGTTGCGCACAGAAGTTGCGGAAGGCGCCCCAACTTCCCTCCCCGGGCCCTGGAGCAGCGTGGGCCCGAGCGCACCTTTGTCTCACTGCAGGGCGCACAGACGGGGCTGTGGGTCTACCTTGGTCGATGCTGGTGCTTGGGAAGACTCCCTAAAACCATGCCTATGGCTTCCTTTGAGGGAATCCCCTTCCGGTTCATTCCCACATTCCCTACCTATCGCACCAGCAAATGTCGCAATGATGGTACTGTGCAAGGGTTGTAACTGTAAGCTATGTACGTTGGCCAAAACAATCAAGAAACAAGTACATGGATATGCCTCAACGGTAAAACCCCGCCAAATTGATCTAGGGCTTCCCCCTTAAAAACACACAAGAAAGGTACCCTCCCCCGCTCGCATGTCCCAGAAGGTGGGCGCCCGCACAAAGGTAACTTCAGGCACTGCATTCAGCGGCGGAGGACGCTTCTCGCAATCTCAAGTGACTGAAAGGGGCCGTTTCGCAACCCCAACAGGCGGCACGTTGAATCCCGCCGCGCCATCGGGTCAAGGGACCTTAGTTGTGACAGCCCCATGAGCCCGGCTCCGCCGCCCGCAGCACCGCCCAGGCCACCGCCGTCTCGAAGGCCGCGAAGTCGGCCGCGCGGCTCGTCTCGAAGTAGGCGGCGCCCGAGGCGCTGGCGAAAACCAGGGCCTCCTGAGACGGCAACCCAGGAGGGTTTCGCGAGCGCTGTGTTTGTGTTGAAATGTCTTTGTTGTTTGTTGTGCTGTTGTTTTTTGTTGTTGTTGTTTCTTGTTGTTGGGTGTTCGGCTGGGGAAAGGGGGGAGGGGGCAGTGTTAGGGAAGTTCTTCTTGTTTGGGCATGCGTGTGGGTGTTCAGCAGCAAGCTAAAAAAGGATGAGGGGATGGTGGATACTTACAGCAATCTCCTTCTGTTTGGGTTTCGTTCTTGTTGCTTTTCTCGGTTTTAAGGATTTCTTGCTTGCTGGTTCTGAGGATTTGTGTGTGTGTGTGTCCCTTTTGGCAGGGAGGGGTTCGGGGAAGGGGGGGGTTGGCTGGTGTTTCTGAGGTTTACTATGTGATTGGGTCGGGACTCTTCAGCCGCAACCAAACAAAAACCAACGAGGGCTGCCCTGAGCAAATTCTTCCAGGGCCTGACGCGGGGTGTGGTGTGCTTTGATTCGTTGTGTTTAATCTCCTTTTTTCGGCAAAGCCAAACCTGTCTTCTCTTAGGAGTGGGGGGGATCTGTTTTAAGGTGTTCTGCGCTTTTTTTCTTTTGGGGCGTTGGTTTCTCGGGGCTTTCATGTCGGAGAAGATTTGCTTTGAGTCCGGAGATGATTGGTGGCGATTCGCAGCTGATATTCTTGGTTCAACCCGTCTTCATGGGAGTTTCATCCCTTGTAACTGGTGCGATGTGGATTTTTCGTAGGTGTTCTTTGGGGGAAAGTTACTGGCAAATGAGAAACCTCCCTTACTTCTGGGAAAGCTAGCTGCCCGGACCGAACTGTAGTTGCTCCCCATCTAAGACGATGCGGTGTTTCTCAACCAGCGAGCACCGAGCCGCCCGGAAGCCTCTACATGAATCCCTGGGATGGCAGGCCTGGGTGACTCCTTCGAGTCTGCATTTCCAGGGGTCGAAGACATGGAAGACTTTGCTCCAGACGTCTGGAAGCTGCCATGGCCCCTGAACTTCTCATCTTCCGTTGCCGGGTCAAAAACACGCCAAAAATAACAGGAAGGCGTTGGAGGCCTCGGGCACCCGAATTTCCCCCTTCTCTCCCCAAGCCCGGTCGCGCTCCCCTCGATTCGCTTTTTCCCACCCGGGACCCATCGGGACCCGCGTTGTGGTTGAGGAAGCCACCAGAGTCACTAAAGAGCTGGGCAATTCGATGCGAAGCCTAGAAAATGACATCCATCTGCATGAGGTTGCAAAACATCTGGAGAATCCAAGCATGACAAACTGTTCGAGTTCCGGAAGCCTCGCGAAGTTTTTCTTGGCGTGTAAGGTGCCCCAGCTTGCAAGACCTCAGCCTTTGCCCTCCAAGCCACAAAACCTCAAAAACAAAAGAACGCAATGGACTTTCAAGGAGAAAGTAGGGAAAAGGCTGTGGCCCAAAAATTGAAATTGGTGCACACATGGAAAGACAAGCAAAAATAAACGAACCCCACCATGGAATCCCACGCCCTTCCACTTCGATGTTTGGGCGAGTGGCCCGGGATCAGTGTGCGCTAGCTGCGACACTTAAAAGGCCTCCCCTGAAACCGAGCGATGTGGTTGAAATCAATTCGACCCTGGTGGACATCGGAAAGAGGGGGCAGATCCAACCACTTCCTGGTGTGGGAAAATGGCCCCTGACGAATCCATCACATCCGCGCTGCCTTTCTTGGGGGTCTCTCCAAGGCTCCAAGGCACCACTCCCTGGACCGAAGGCACCCCCTGGAAAGGACCGAAACCCCAGCCCTCCTTGTAGACCTCACCGGACCGCACCCGGAGGCCCTAGCTCTCCATTGCCGGATATGCCGCCGCCAGAGTCCCGGAGGCCAAGCGCCCCGTACGGGGCGCTTTTCGCGCGGTCGGGTCGTGGGGCTGCGCCGTTTTTTTGGCCGGGGGTGGCCCGTTTTGGCGGATGTTCTGTAGGCAAAGGAGGGGAAAACCCCGCCCGTTTTGTGGGGGCTCCCCCTATTTTGGGACGTGTCCGGTCGTCGGTTGATCACGAATGCTGTAAAACCATAAATCCAGGAACAAAGATAATGATAGGAAAGACAAACACCATCCCTTTACCAAGCCCTCTCTCCAAGGCTTGGAGGTAGAAAGGGGTGGAGTGTGATGTTAGAGAGCCCGGAGATTTAGACGGGTGAACGAGTGAATGAGTTTGTAGGTGAAAGAGGCACTGGGATTTTATAGGTGACACAAAGAGAAGGAATGGGATGGTATGCAGCATATAACCGTTCCTTTCGTCACTTCTTCATTCACACATTCCTTTCCATCTCTATCTGTTGCCTCTGGGATTTTATGGTCAACAACTTTTCCTTGGGATCTGCAGTCAACAAAAGAGAGGCCACAAAGGGAAAGGAGTTACAATAAGATCCCATTCACTCGCTTGCAACATCTTGATTTCGTTCAGGCTCGTTAGGCGACTGTGACTTCTACATCGCAACTCAAAGGATTGCTGAAACTCACAGGTCCGGACCCTGGGATCTGGACCCAAGTGAAACCCAAAGCTCCACCTTCGCATCAGTAGCAAGCAATGCCCTTTGCAGCAGCCAAAAATGACATAACACTCCATACAACACACTGGTTGTCAAACGAGGTCGTATACCCAATAAGTGGGATTGTTGGACAACAAGTTGACAGCCCGCCTTTTTGCAGGGCTCGAGCCACATGCTGGCGGGACAAACTAAGGCAAGTTACATCATGTACCCCTGGGGCAAGTGATGCTGAGGTGTGTGCATATAGGTATGTGCTTATTTGATTAATTATGTTCTTCTAGTGATTGAGTGTCTGCATTTGCTGATGTATGCGCGCTATTTGTGTATCTGTATTTAGTAATGTTTGTGTTCCTATGTTTAAACAGTTTATCTATTTGTAAGCGTGTGTATTGACTTACTTGTGTTTGTCGTATATATATATATATATATGTGCTTTGTGGTTCTCTGTTCTGTCAATTTGCTTGCTTGCGTGCTTGCTTGCTTGATTGTTTGCCTGCTTTACCTGTCTATGATTGGTTTCTTTGTTTGTCTACTAGTTTAACTAAATGAACTGCTTTTGTACTTATTGTTGTATCTACTTGTTGATTCAGTACTGTGTGCATTCGCATACGTCTGTTCCACTTATTTATTGAACGGGGCATTCATTTGTTTCTTGATATATCCTGCTGTATGTAGTTACCTTGTATATCAACGTCTGTGGTTGTGGTGTTGAGGTTATTCAATCATGTAGGTGTGTGTGTATATATATATATGGATGTACTGATTTATTTTTGTCGTATACGCCAAACACATACTGCCTGATGCAAAATGATCAACCCTTGGGTTTTTGAAAGGAGCGATGCTTGAAAAGACTAAACAGCCCTCTAGCCACAGATAGAGGAATCGAAGAAGACGAGCGGCTTGGCAGCAGGCGTCAATTTCGGGCATGGAGGATCTGGGAGACCCCAAATGGTTGCAACAAATGGCTTCTAGCATGCTACACGCACGATTGACCTTGGCACAAGCCGAAAGAACCTGCTTCAAGTCTGACAAGTGGGGAGCGGCCTGGCAAAATTGGAGCACTATCCTTCCCCCTTTCGGTTTTCCCTTTGGAGGACGTTTCTTCTTTGGGCTCCTCAAAAAAAAACGGGCGCCCGCCTCGGTGCCGCCCGACGCGGGCTCCGCGGTTCCTTCCGCCCGGGGCTCCCCGCGGGGTCGCCGTCCAGGAAGTCCGGCAGCTCCAGCCCCCCGCGCCTGGCCCGGTCCTGTCTCCGATCGGTGGCCTTTTGGGTGGCCTTTTGGGTGGCGATCGGCGGCCTTTGGGGTCAAAAACGCAGGTGGCAACCCCCAAAATGGAACCCAAATAGGGCAACGGCCCAGGAAAAAAGGGGGAGGGGGAGGGGGGAAGAAGGCCCCCAAATTGGGGGCAAGAAGGAGAAGGACCCCAAATTGGAACCTCTTTTAGCGATTTATTGGGGGGAAGGGGGAGGAAGGAGAAGGCCCCCAAATTGGAACCCTGGCAAATGGAAAGGAGGACTGAAACCTGCGGTCCCCTGACCCATACCCACGTGGTGATTGGTACGTTGCGGCACGGCCTTTTTGAGCTGCATATGTTGATTGGTATGGCCTTTTTGGTCGCACGTTTGTTCCTCGCTGCTGCTCCCTGAAAATGGTGGGCCGCTTCTGCGTTTGCTGCTGGACTAAACGTTGCTGGCCCAGGTTGCAGCCCTCTTGCAACTCGCGCCGGAAAAGAATAAAACGTCGCTGGCCGCAAGAATGGCAATGGCCATTGAGCCCCTGCGCAGAAAGTTGACTTTTCGATGGCTGGTGGAGGGCAAACTAAGCTGGCAAAGTGGAGCACCCAAAAGATGTGTCAAACGCACTCAAACCCCGAGTCACCAACGGAACTTCCAACCCGGACATTGGCGAGAGATACATGCGAAGGCTTCTCCCAACTGAATATGAGAATGTTAGATTGCGGCAACCGTATTCCGTGATTGCGCCAGGGGCCATTTCCGGGGTTACCTGCCTCAAACCGCCCCATCTCGCAACTCGCCGCTCGCCAACCCGAACCCTCTGCCCCGTTAAACATTGAAAGGCGGCAAGCGTGTTCTGGCAACTGAATCAGTGCACCTTCTGCCAGGGCCCCGCCAAAAAGTAAGCAATGTGCTGCTTGAAACTGCTACCAAATCAAGAGGAACACCACCATGATTCGCAACAAGGCTAACTGCACCAACAACTAAAGCCAACAACAAAAACGTCTTAAACCCACACACACACACACACCACACAAAAAGAGAGAGAGAGAGAGAGAAAAAAAAAAAAAAACGACCTGCGAGACACCTCGGCCCCCCGGGTCCTCCAGCCGCCGCTCCGCGAAGCTCAGCCCCACGAAGGCCTCGTACTCCGCGAGGCTGCGGCGAGCGCCCAGGCCGCCTCCGGCGGCTTTTGGTGTCTCTCGGAGGAAGCTCTCGGAGGGAGGGGGGGAGTGGTCTCAAAGCGTTCACTTACAGGAAACCATCTACCGGAAACGGCCCCAAAACGAAAGTCTTGTGAGTTCAGCCTTTGATGCGCAGCGCCAAAAAACAAAAAACAACGAGAAAAGCCGCCTGCGATTCGGCGCATGTTCGGCCGGCGCCCCGCCTTCGCCACGCAGCTGGGCTGAGACCTTCTGCCGGGACAGCGCCTCCCGCACTTTCCGCGCCTGCGCCAAAGGCGCCGAAGGAGTCGCCACCCAGCCACCACCCACCACCCACACTGGGGGGTGGGGGAGGGGGAAAGCTGCGAAAAAAAAAAGTGGACATATGGGGTATTTGGGTTGAACAGCACCGCGCAGCATTGGGTTGGGGCGTTGTTGTAGTTCTCCCCTGCAGATGAGTGTCAACTTTGGATTAATCCTGAGCGCCATGCCAAGGGGCGCGGGCGGGGGGGGGGGGGAGGGCACGAAGTGAGCGTACACCGACCTCCAAACCTTAGGAGGGAAGGGAAAAGAGGGCTAGGCCCAGTTCCATGATCTAGCCTTCCGCAATGGGAAATCGCAAGTCAAATGCAACTACAAATTCAATTTCAAAGAACCCCACGCTGTGGGGTAGGTAATCAAGGTTTGTAGGCCTTGTGGTTTCCTCCTACAGGCCCCGAGGTGAAGCCAAAACCCATTGGTCAACCCTCAAAGCCTCCGCTCCCCCAAAATGGTTGACCCCACCAGCGAGAGGTGCCACGTGGGGAACGTCCTGTGGTGGGGGCCAAGGGCTTTCCTCAAGCAGCCCTGCGAGCCTCGTTTCCGTGCTCGCGGAACAGCGGCCGGTGCTTGCGCGTCCAGAGGTGGTAGCCAACGACCTGGACAAGTCACGGGAAATCCACGTGCCCCTGAAATCCACGTGCCCCAACATGTGAAGGCACCCCGCAGTTTCCTCTAGCACCCGTTGTTCTTCAAGGCTTTGGGCGTGGAGGCAGGCTGCGGGCTGAATCCCAGCGGAGAAAGGCGGGCGCGCCTGGGTGGGCGTGAAGAAGTCCCAGCCGGAGGTCCACAGCCGCACGGCCATGGAGCTCTCCTCCCCGAAGAAGAGGTCCTCCAAGGTCTCGTCCTCAGCTCGGATGAGCCCCAGGGCCCATGGGGGGCCCTGGCTGAGAAGTTGGGGGCCAAAAGGGACCCTTCGCCGCTGGCGATTGGGTGGATGTCCAAAAAAGCACAATGGAAGGGCCCGACTTCTTAGCAAGAGACAACATGGGCACTGCATCGAGAAGATGTGGAACAGTGAGCATTACACGCCCCGTCATCACTCCAGGACTATCTTTGCAAATGAGGAAAAAGATCCAAAACCATTACACCCCCCCCCCCCCCCCCCCGCGCATCCGGAAAAAACAGAAAGATCCTTCCTACTCATTTTGCGGGAAGAAAAAAAGAACGAGAAGCCACCCAACCACCTTGCGAGCCCCGCCCGTCCGCCCGGCCGCCCGGCCGCCCGGCCCGGTGCTCGCTCGATCGCTCGATCGCTCCCCTCGGCCGGGCGGCGTAGGGCACCTCCCGCACCACGGCGGAGGAGGAGAAGGCCAGGCCCGCGGCCCAGAAGAGCCCCGGCCGCGGCCGCCCGCCCGCCCTGCCTCGCACGGAATGAGCGAAAAAATCAGGATGGGCGGATGGGAAGGGGTCGGGGGGGGGGGGGTGTGGAAGGAAGTGTGTGAAAGTGTATGACGTGATAAGTGGGACTTTAGATTGAGGGTGCTGGCGCCGGGCCGGTTTTGGCAAGCTGCGTGACGAGCTTTTCTTGGTGGATGTGGGTTGCTTTATGTGTTGGCTACTGGGTTCAGCTGGGTTGGGCTGAGTGAAGTTGGGCTGGTTGATCGGCTGATTGGGCCGGTTGCTCAGTTGGGCAGCTGGCGCTGCAAAGCAACCGGCATGCTGCAAGGCGCCTGTCAAGCCCCGAATGTCGACCCTCCCAGGCGTTCGCCCAAAGTCTCATGGGTTGTCAATCCTGGGTCCAACTTCTTGGCATCGAAGCCGACAGGATGAAACAACAAAGGGCAAATAGAGGTTCACAACATTCCCGTAAGTCCTGGCCCGCCAATGGCACGAGCCAAGACTTGGGTTTGTCTCACAAAGGGAAGCCCCAAAGTGGCGTCCTTTGGTTGCCCTTCAACAACCCCAATTTTCATACACCCTGTTTGACCTTGGCTGCCAAAAGCAAAAACAGACGCCCTCCAAACAGGCCGGCCAGGATGCAGCGCTTGCCGGTGATCCGGAGGAAGCCGTCAGCCCCAAACCTGGGCAACAAACGGTTGAACACGGCTGGTACTTTTGGGTTGCTGGCAAGGGCCGTCTGGCTATACACATGCTACCGGTGAAAATGGGTCTCCTGGTTTGCCTTTTCACCTGGTCCTTTACAATTACAAATGCAAAAGGAGGCCGCCAATGTCTTGCTGAACGACACACGTTGGCAGATTGACATGGGTACTATGGGTACTTTTAAGAAAGTCGCTTCAACGGAATCTTCCTGCCGAAGAAAAAAAAACACTTTTGGGGGTTCCATGGTTTTGCTTTTTCCCTTTTTCCCCAACCTGAAAGCCTTGGAAGAGCCCCCAACCTTCAACCATTTCCGGATTCTGCCGAGGCTCTCCTTGGCGCACAGCGCCACCGGGCACGCGCGGCTGTCCAGCTTCGCCGCATCCGGCTGCCCCGGCGAGTAGTCCTCCCCGCGTTCCATCGCTTCGGCTTGGGCGGGACCCGGCGCACACGCCTCTTTGCGGGGGTTTCCAAACCCCTCCCCCCCCCCCCCCCCCGACATTTAGCACCACATACACACAGTGATGCACCATGATTGGACACAGGTGGGGTCAAAGACATGGCAAATGGCGCGCATCAGCTCAAGCCGCATAAACGCGCAGCAGACAAGTCTGGTTCCTGACCCGTCAGCTCTTCAACGCTCTCGCCCCGACGCAGCAAGGCTTCACCAGCCGCGGAGCCGCGGCCCAAAGCAAGAAAACTCTCTGACTGTCCCCACTCCTCTGGAAGCGTGTAGCTGGCCGGGTAGGTGCCTGTGCGGGGATCAAACTAGAGCCATGGCCAGGGGTGCAAGACATGGAGAGTCCAAGAGAGCGACACCAGTTTTACTGGCTGATCTCTTCCGCGTGCGCTTGACATGAATAAAGATCGGCTGCCATTATGGCATTCAGGCTTCCCTTTGAAACCACCCCAAGGGAAGTACCAAAACTAAAGAATAATACACCCCTGCCCGGATTTCTACCTCAGCTGTTGTCCAACCTAGAAATAGTTGATTCTGGTCTGGTCCATACTTCGCGAACCTCAAATTGGAGAAACAAAAACAAGAGGTTCCAAATGAGATCCCAGAAGAAGGGTACCAATACCTAAACAAGACCCTCCTCCATCGAAACAGCTAAACATGGGGGTGTCCCCAAAACAGCGTCGGATCTCCTCCCTTTAAAACCGCCCACAAAAAAGAAGACAGACTATATATGTGTGTGCGCGTTTGTTGAATGATTGGTTGGACCCCCCCAAAAAATATACTTGTGGTTTTCCTTGCGGCTCCCCCCCCCCAGAAAAAAAAAAAAAGAGTCCAGCGGTCCACCCGAGCTGCTGAGGATGGGCCGCTCGCTGTCGCACAGCGAGAGCTGCCGCAGCAGCTCCTCATCCCAGCCGGGGATCATGCCTAAGCAGGTTGACATGGAGCACAAGACTCCAAGCGTCCTACGACGAATCTCCTTTTGGAAAAAATAAATGATGTTATCTGTCCTGTTTGTTCTTCTTCTTTTTTTAAGAGTGCTTGAAAATTGATTTATAGTGCAAATTTATTTATTCATGGTTTAATACATATCTAGTCAAACTTGCATCTTGATTTAAAAAAAAAGTTGAACTAATTCCACTTTGGGCGTGGACCCCCCTTTTTGGGGTCCATCATCTCTAGACACCTTCAAACACGCTTAGCTCCCCAGCCTCAAAAGCCGTGCTGCGTAACCCCGCGCTGCGGTCAACATGTCCTCCTTTTGGCTCCGCTGTGAGGCTTGTCGTGCCCTTTCTTCGGCGGGCAATAGCGCCATGGACGCGGATCAATGTGCTTCCCCCAGATCTAGACTTGTCGCATGGCCATAGGCGGGTGAGGTGCGGACGGCGTGACTTTTCTGTTCCAAGAACAACCGGCTCACCAGCCATCCCATGTGACCTCGGCACTGGATTAACCTCATGACGATGGCAAAGAATGGCCGGCAGAAACTGGTGTCACAAAGTCCCCTTGCCAGGGATGACAACTCCTGCGAGGTTGGATGCCGACTCTTTGCCCCCTAGTGGACCCAACTCATTGAAACCGCGGAGCCTCCCATCAGAGCGCAAGGTACTTGGAGCATGGGGGATTTTCAAGGTCATTTTTCCAATCAAGGGGGAGATGCCGGCGGGTAGTGGAACCCCTTCCAGCCTGAAGACACACGAGTCACCTGCCATGGATCCCGATAGAAGTTGTTGATCTATTGCTCGCTTGGCAGGGAGTCAGGTCAGGGGAGAAACAAGAGCTGATTCAAATAAGATTCTGGAGGTGATGGGAAAATCTGACATCACAAGCTCGAAGTGTGAAAAGAAATGTGACATAACGCTCTGACAACAGCATCTCTTCGTCGTTCAACTTTTGCGCGGCGGAGACATCTGAGTCCGAACCTGCAACAATTGCCCTCCCATCCAAAAACACAGACCCATTTAGAGGAAAATAGACGTCCACGACTCTCAGCCAAGCCCAGCTCTGCAACCCAAGATTTCGCGCGTTGAGCGTGCATGCCCTCTGCATGCCAAGGTGCGGTAGTGGCTGTCCAGCTGAAGATAAAAGTCTTCTCCCTGAAAAGGGCAACAAGGCCGGAATTGTCCACTTTTGTCATGCCACTGACCGCACACACACACATTGGGGGAATGACTCGGAATGAGGCATGAGTCGGAATGAGTGACCTCATCGCGGCTCGCTTTGGCCGTGCCTGGAACAGCTCCCGCTGGATCCTCGCCCGTGCCACGCAGGGCCCCCGCGCTGCTTGCGGCGCCACCTCCACCCGGCGCACCTGCGGCGCGAACTCGCCTCAGCTCGGATGCGAAGGGCGAGGTAAAAACAGCCCGGCGGAGGAAATGGCACCATTCTTTTGTGTAGCAAGACTGAAGAAAATGACTCATGATGCTCCCCCCCAAAAAAAAAAAAAAAAAAAAAAACATGCCCCCACCCTGCTTAGCTTCAGAGTGCTAGAAGGAAAACAAATCTGGAGGTGCCTCATTAAAATGTCCCTGCGTGTGCCAGAGGAAAAATACACCCTCCAAATTGCTCACTTGCTCGCCATCCATGCCAATGGCTCTCCATTTGATCACTGGGGATTGGCCACGAAAACTGCCTTCCCACAAAGTAAAGCCCAACTCCGGGCACCGATCAAGGCCGGCGCTGGGGGGGTCAAGCAGGAAGCAGTGGCCATCCTCTTCCGGGTCCGCCTCCGCGCCGCTCCCCCCCCCCCCAATTATCCGGAGCCGGAACCCCCTCAACTGGGACCCCTGGGATTTCCTCCGCCAAGGGTTCCCAACCGCTCTTGCAGATCAACCTCTTTGGCACCAACCTGGGCAACCTGGGGGGCCTTCCGAAAGTTCACAAGCGCCTTCGAGAAAGTCGCCCAGCGAACACGCAGTTGCCCCAGTTGCAGTCAGCTCTCCGTTTGCCTTCGCTAAAACGGTCACCACTTTCTGCATGTGCTGCTGACGCGGCTCGTCAAGACCCGCTCAGTTGCACTCTTGTGAGCTGTGCTTTTTGCACCACGACCCCTATCTTGAGACAAAGTCCCTCCCATTTGCCTAGTCGCGCCCAAACCAAACCAACCCGCCGCACCTACTCAAAGCTGTTTGACTCCGGAGGATGTGCCGGACTCCCCAACAGCTGCTTTCCAATGGATCCAAGCAATGGGTCAGGCCCAGGGGGCAGGGAAAGGGTTGCAATGAGGCGGCAAGCCCACCTGCCTGCCAGCAGATCCCAACAAAGACCCTGGCCGGCTTCGCAGCTTTGGCGAAGAGGTCCCCCACCGTATACCTCGGGGCCCGTGATCTCGACCCTTGCCGTATGCGGCTCCGCCGCAAAATCCCCCCAGACTGACCTGCAACCCCATGACCGTACCATGATCAAAGTCACCCCCCAACTAAGTGGTGGGTTGAAGAGAAACAACCCCATTTTTTGACTTTGATAACCCCAGTGCCAGAAACTGTCAAAATTATGACCCCAGATGCAAGTTTGATGCTTTCGACGGGATCCATGTTTTCCTTCATAGACCTCCAACCCGGCACCCAATTGCGCGCAGATTGCGATCGCCTTCTCGGAAATGGCCTCGCTCGACACTGGTGCAACCAGGGCACTGGCACTCCGGATCGCGGTAGGATGGGATGGACACAAAGATGCTGGGATCCATGTGCCGCAAAGGCGCGGGAGAGGCTCGAGGAGTCAGACTCAACTCAAAGCCTAGCCCGATGTTTGGGCACGTCATGAGTTCCTGACCTTTTGCATGATGCAATCTAGATGTTCTGTGTGTGAGGCCGAATGATTTACAAACAATGACTGGACGAAGGCCACTAGAGCCTCCCAACCATAGACCGGCATGATTTTTTGTTTCGGAGCCCTTGGTGGCATCACTGATCATTGGATGGGAAGGTATGTCCACCGTCCTTTGGGGGAGTCTTCACATGGGTTCCGTATATTTCTCCAACAGACGATTTTAGACATAGCGTGGCCTTTTGGGCCAATTTTTCAGTGAGCTTCCCTCCGAGGTGTTTGCTTCAAGCGGGGAGGGAAACATGAACTCGCTGCAGCATGTCCGTTCTCATAGTGATTTGTTGATAAAACAACTACTTCTAATGCCAAATTCTGATGTGCCCACGGTGTATCAGGCACTTGCAATTGCAGAGTTGGCTCGAACCATGCAGAGTCAGCCATGCGCCATGAAGAGCTGCCTCTGAGCTGGAAGGAACCAGCAACCTAGTCGATTGGCGAGGGGGGCTTCTCCCACAAAAGGGGTCCGGATCGTCTCTGACTCATGGGGTGCCAATTCGAAGAGACCAACAGTTGATTAATCAACTGGGTCAACGCCATGTTTACGTGGCTGCGGGTCCTCCAAACCAAAAAAAAAGAAGCTCCCAGAATGGAACTCGGGTAACTATAAAGGAGAGCATGGGCTAAATCCTGCGCCCCCCTGCTAGTTTGATTTCGACCCAAGTCCATGTCTGAGCTTGCACATGGGTCATATGCATCGATTCAACTGGCTCGACTCTAGCAGCTCGAAGCACCCGAAGCCCCAGAGCAACACAGGCGTCGGCCTACTTTTGGTTTTCAGCAGCCCTAGAATCGGGCTCCCTTTTGAAAAACTCACGCGCTGCGGGCCGTTTTCTGCAAAAAAAAACATATACCCACCTGGGCCCTTTCTTGGTGAGAATCCTTCCCCACCCACATCAATCCATGGCTCTTCCGTGGGCCGCTTTTCGCCCCGGGCCAGGGCTTGCCATCCACAATGATGGTGCCCCTCAGTTGGGACGGGGACCTCTGGCCCTCGTCGGGTACCACCTGTCCGGCAGGTAGAGCTTTGGGCACAAAGAGTAAAATACAAAGCCTCTGGGGGCATTCTGAAGTGGACGTCATGTGCTCAAAATGACTTCGAGCCCTGAGGTGTTGGCGAAAAGTTTTTTTACTCAAGAGTACTTTGGGTTTGTTGCTCCTCCAGCCGCCACGTAAAGAGTAAGTTAGGGGGATGTTAACGGGCGCAGAGTTGGGCGAGATTGTGAGTCCAAACTTCCGCTTGCTTCCCGAGGTAATTAAGCGAGGATCCAAAGCAATCCTTCAACGAAAGCGGGATAAAATATTGTTGCAATTTTGAGAACCCCTCAAAACATGTCTTGCCATTTACACCAAAACAAACACCGAAAAAACGGCGGCCACTTTGAAGCCCGAAACTCTCGACTTCCCTCCCACTCAAGGGCATCGATCCCGCCTCGATGGTCAGGCGGCACCGGGTCCCGGCGGTGCCCTGATCCTCTAGCTGGGCAGTCAGCTCAGGTAGGAAGCAAACGCCTGGCATGTGCCCAGAAGCATGCGCCGCCATGCTTTGTTTTCGTGTTTGTTCTTTCTTGTTTGCTCTGTTTCTCTCTTTTTTCGTGTGTGTGTGTTGTATTTATTGTGTGTTTTTTTTTTGGGGGGGGGAGGGGGCGTGGGCGTTGCAAGTTCCACTAGCTTCCAACCAGCGCCACAAGCCACACGTCACCCAGAGAGCGCCCCCCCCTGCAGCCTCCCGAGTAAGCCTCTTCCAAGAGCAGGTGCTCCCTCAAGCGGTCCACGGCATCCTGAGGGCAAAGCGACAGAAAATCAGCTCTGAACAAATGGTGTTGGAGTTGGTAGCCCTTTGGGGGTAGCTTGACATAAGAAGGAAATAAGGGAAGCCGAAGCTAGCGGGGGTGCTTCATTGAGAACCAACATGGAGGGCTGCAACCCATCGGCAGGCCCCAAAAGAAGGCCTCCCGGCCCGAGCCTCCAAATGCGCATTCTGGCCAGGAGGGTCAAGTGACTAGAGTTGCTCAAACATGTTGAAGCAAGGGCAACCGCCCAACCCCAGCAATATTGAAACACGCGGCCTTTTGCCTCACTTATGAAACAACTACCCAGGGAACTCCCTCATTTACGCGTTCATCACACCAAACAAAAAAACAATGGTCCTTACAAAAAAGAAAAGAACCTTTAAACAATTCCATGGTGCTAAACCAGTAAACCCTTTGACAAAAAACTCCTACGGTCCTTTCAGCCTCGCGCGCGGCGGCCTGCGGACCTCGCGAGCCTCGCGCGAAGCCCCGCCTCGTCCTCCTCCTCCAGCAGCGCGGCGAAGCTGAAGGCGGAGCTGCCGACGGGGCAGTTCTGGGCCAGCGCGGACCTCCCGATGAAAAAAAAGGCTTTGGGGTGGGGCGGGGGAAGATGTGTGTGTTGCTGTTTTGTTTGTTGGGCGGGGGGGGGGGGGGATTTGTGTTGTGTTCTTCTTATTGTTGGTATTATCATTTTTCCTTATTACTATTACTAGAATTACTATCAGTACTGTTGTTATTATGATCATTGTGATTAGTTTAATTCATGTCTTGTTTATCTATTGATTTATTTGCTTATTTTGTTTGGGCGAGGAATTCGTTTCTGTGCGCTTTTTGTTGAGGGGGGGAGGGGGATTTTAGTGGCTTGGCCAAAAGAAGTCGGAACTTTTGTTCGCCGCCAATATGGCGTCTTCCCAAAAAAGGCCTGTGTAGCGGTTGTGCATGCTCCCTTGGAACAATTGGCGTGGCGATTTCGCCCAGAGTCGTGCGGTTCCTGTACCCCAAAAGCAGCCCGGGGCTCCCGTGAAAAAGTCAGCCGTGTTTGAGCCCTACCTTGGGAAAATCAACAAATGGAGTTGGAATCTCTTGCCTTCCCAAGCCTCCCCTTTTGGGACCAAGGGGGTGGTCATTTTTCCACACACTCATCGAGAAAATGAGCAAATAGGTTCTCCTAGCACTGTCTTCAAAAGGCGAATACAAGTATATCTTGTTTCGAGGTTTCAATTTCAAAACGGCCTCAAAGGAGGATTGGGGCAGCTAACAATACTAATTCAATAAGCCGATAGGGGACGAACAACAACCCATACCCAACCTGCAAAACCGATACAGGCTGATGAGGTTCAAAACAGGAGGGAGGTGGGGGCTTGCTGACCAAGCCGCCTGAAGAAGTCCAACTCCACTACCACTCAACCATGTTTTGATGCATAAGTTTGAGAAAGCCAAAAGCTCCCCCCACCCCAAATCGAAGGATTGGGAATCAGACCTTTCTAAATGGTGGGGACGGGTCGGGAGCTGTTCGGTGTTCAAGTGTGCCTTGGCAGCCCACACCTGTAAACAAGACCCACCGCAACCCACGCCATTCGGGCAAAGAAAGCTACCAAACCCACACCTTTAGCAAATACATACCACAACCCACACCCAAAAAAACACCTACCAATACCCACACCTAAAAAAACAAAACACCTGCTTGGAGAGACGGCCAACCAACTCCCCGCCTTGAGCCTAAAATTTTCGGGACTCCTGGGGCCCCCGGCCCACCGCCCGGCCGCACGCGCACTTGCAGCGACTGTCGGACACTTGGCTTCCGACTCTGCTTGGCGGGTTGATCAAAAAGCGCACGGTACGCATGGGATGACCCTTGGGGGAAACCACCAACGAGGATTTGATGTTTCCCACATGGGAAAAGTTACCCATGGTCACTTGAGGGCCGAACGGAATATGGATCAAACCCCCAGTTAACGTGTTGGACGGGGTCTCAAAGATCAAGGTCTGGATACTTCCCCCCGAAAGAGACATCTTCACAGCATGCCCAGGAAAAAGTGTCCACCTCAACGTTCCGAATTGTAGAAAGGCTCCATGGCATCTCTCTCAAAGTATTGGGCTCCAATTGCCTCTGAACCAGAAAGCGCAGTGCCCACGCGCCAAAGCCCAAGGGTTCCGGGTAGGACGCCAAGAAGCACCAGTCAAAGGGTCTGCTGCCGTCGGGCTTTTTTAGGACCCCTGGGGAGCAGATTGGTCGAAGGATTCCATCGACTTTTTCACAAAAGTACGTCGAACATCCAGAAACTCGCCCTGAGCTGGTGTTTAGCGGGGGGGGTGAAAAGGGGGGGGGGGGGTCGGTAGCAAATTCAGCTCACCATCCCTCATGGTAAACTCCCGGATGATTTCCACAAACCCCCCCCGCCCCCCCGCACCTCCAACCGCCGCCTCATATTCAGCCCACCACTACAAACATAGAATCACTAGTATCCCCAATAGCCCTGGACCCCAAACTATCCCCGAAAGCGGACCCCCCGACCACGACCAAGCTTTCAGCTGAGAGAAGCATTCGAGGAAAAAAACCGATTCTTGATGTAAAGACCAACAGAGGGCTACATTTGCCTAAATAATGAATCTACAAATCTATAG